TTTTTTTTTAGTGTGTGTGTGTTTGTGTGTGTGTGTGTGCTCTTCCCTGGGTGAACTGAAGTCCCCGAGGTTGGGGGTAGGGTGGGGAGGAGTTATACCTGTGTTAAGATTCCACAGACCAAATAAGTGAACTTCATGATTGTGGAGTTAAAATGTGAAGCAGGGCTGGTGAGACGGCTCAGCGGGTAAGGAGCTTGCCCTGAAGCCTCATGACAGCCTGAGTTTGATCCCAGGATCTACAGGAAGGAAGGCAAGAATGTCTCCCACAGATGCCCTCTGACTTCCACACAGGCCTGTGGGGGTCATGTGTACATGTGCAAGCACACACACATGAGATCACAACCCGTCTCTTTAACAAGCTGGTCACTTTAAGAAACCACGTTTTGCTGAGTGTTGGTGGCACACACCTTTAATCCCAGCACATGGGAGACAGATGCAGGCAGATCTGTGAGTTTTTAAGCCAGCCTGGTCTACAGTCAAGTTCCAGGAAAGCCAAGGCTACACAGAGAAACCCTGTTTCAAGAGGAAATAAAAAAAGAAAACAGAAAAAACCAGCATCATTGAGGTGGTGTCTTCTGGGAAGTGTTTCCTGGGAGTCAGCAAACAGAAGGATATTCTAGATGTGGCCAAGGTCGAAGCTTGTTCCGGCAGAACTTGGTATAGTGTAAGAGTCACCCAGGTGGTACTGGTTTTGAAAGCATTAGGGATCATGGAGAGCAGCTGGGGCTTGGCACTGAGTGGCAGGGTGGAGTTCCTGAAGAGAGCCCAGGAGAAGCTATTGGCACCAGTGCAGCCCAGTTGCAGCAGAGACCCCAGCAATTTGGAGGTGTCGGTACCATGGGCAACCAGCAAGAACGGCAGCAGCTGCGGCATGGAGCCTGGCTGAGCCTAGGAGGCAAGCTGTGTGCGCTGCAGGGGGAGAACCAGAAAAGTGGCCCAAGTCCTTCAGAGGAGCCCAGAGGCTCCTGCGAGACCCCAGGCATTGGACACTGAGTTATTTACACTGTTAGAGATTGGTTTTGCTTTGTTCAGATTGTAACTGCGCCCTCCTGAAGTAAGAATGAGGACTTCCCATCTTTCTGACATCTCCATATCTGGGGATCTCCCCTGCATCTAACACTATACCTTCACCTCTTCAGGGACTCAACTCCTCACACCAGGTACCAGACCTCAGCTGCTCACCACGAGCCCTTCAGTGTAGCAGGAATCTTAGAGAGTCTTATTAATAAAATCAAACCTGTGAGCCAGGTATTGGGGTGAAGCTGGAAGATCAGAGATACAGAACAAGCCACAGCTACCTCACCTCACCGGATCCTAGGCTGGTCTTGTTTCCTCAGACTGGAGGCCTCTGAGTCCTCATCCAGAATGGGTCTCAGCTGAACTGCTGCTAGAAGCCTGAATGCTTAACCAGGCAAATGCTTCTAGTTTCTGGTCCTCATGCCTTATATACCTTTCTGCTTTCTACCACCACTCCCTGGGATTAAAGGCTCGCTTTCTGAGATTAAAGGCATGAGTCACCATGCTTGGCTGTATCCTTGAACAGATGGATTTCTGCCTCTGGAATGCTAGGATTAAAGGCGTGTGCTACCACTGCCTATCTTAAGTATCTAGTGGCTTTTCTGTTCTCTGACCCCAGATAAGTTTATTAAGGTACACAATATTTTGGGGAACACAGTACCACCACACTTCAGTCTTGCAACCGTTAAGCCTTTAAAAGCAGTACAGTACAAGGTGGATGACTCATACACATCCCGAAGGCCCAGCTCCCTGAGATGCAGCCTTGCCTACCTGCCGACCACAGCTCTAGCAAACTGACCCCAAGAAACAACTTTTGCTATACAGGATAGAACTACAGGACTGGATGGGTCTCAACAAGACACTGAGGTGAAGATACAGATACAGGGAGGGCCTGAGGGATAGAGTCAAAGCGACTGCATACAGCCTGAGTAGGAAGGCCGATGAGCTCCAGAACATTCTTTGAAAGAGGTAAGGATGTGAGGCATCTGGGTTCCTAGGCTGGCAAGCTCTTGGCTTTTGTCCAGAATTCGCTGGTTTTCTTAGAGCTAAAGAAACTTTTCCAGGAGGCTGAGGGAACTGCTGGCCTCACCTCTCCTTCACCATTTGGGACCCCTGCAACCTCAGGACAGCTGGGTCCCATCCCAACCCATTAAAATCCTTCAACACCCCACCCCCACCTGGTCCGGGCCTGCAGCTCCTGTAAAGAACTGATTGACATTTGTTTTATTCCTACCACCCTAGATCCATCAATGCTCACAAGAAATGAAAGGCTTCCCTCTAACCACCTTTCAAATTTTTATGTAGAGGAGCATTTGCTTGCATGTCTACCACATCCTACAGAGGTCAGAAAAGGACATCAGATCCCCCCGGGACTGGAGTTACCACCATGTGGGTGCTGGGAACCAGAACCGTGTCCTCTGCAAGTACAGGGTCTCCACTGAGTATTTTCTGGTCACTTCTTGTTCTCTTCCTGACTCAGCCTTCGTTTCTCTCCCCTCCGATTATGGTCAAAACAAATGAGGTCAAGTGAATTAATTTGATGAAGTTGTGGAGATCAAGAACACTGAAGAGCCAGTAGTGGTGGCACAGGCCTTTAATCCCAGCACTCCAGGAGCAGAGGCCAGATGACCTCTGTGAGTATGAGGTATCCTGGTTGACATAGACAGTTCCAGGCCAGCCAGGGCAACATGGTGAGTTTCAAACAAACAAAACACTGAAGACAAAAAATAAGAGGGTTTGGAACTGGGTATGAAACAGCAAAGCTGACAGGATCAGAAGATGGGGCTCTGTGAAAAAGCCAGCAAAGCTTGTCCCAGGGTTGGGCTCTAACTGGAACCCAAGAAGGCCCTGAAGGACTCACACAAGGTGCCAATGTCCTTTCACATTCTCTCCATCTAATTGTAGCACACTAAACTGTGGGTAAGTTCTTGTGGAATATTACTTTAAGTATATAAAGGTTTGTTACATTAGTTTAACTATGTAAAGATGTGTTGCGTTTGTTTATGTTATGGAATATTTAACTATGTAAAGATGTGTTGCTGTTCACCTTGCCTGCCTAAGGCACCTGATTGGTCTAATAAAAAGCTGAATGACCAATAGCTAGGCAGTAGATGGATAGGCGGGGCAGGGGAGGGGGGCAGAGAGAATAAGGAGGAGGAGGATCCTAGGCTGGTGAGAGAGGAGGTAAGAGAAGGTGGGAGAAAGAAGGGGAGACACCTGGGGCCAGGCCCCCACCAGCCAGCAAGCCAAGGAGTAGGATATACAGAATGCACCAAAGGTTAAAAGCCCCAAGGCAACATGTAGATGAGGAGAAACAGGTTAATTTAAGTTTGGACAAGCATAAGATAAGGCTGAGCATTCACAATTGGTAATAAGTCTCCATGTCATGATTTGGGAGCTGGTTGGTGGCCCAAAAGAAAAATCTTGCTACAAAAATCCTCCAGATTCCAGCAGAGACCATCCTGTAGACAAGGAACCAGGTGAGTGATGGAAGAAAAGTGCAGCTGCATCTTGGGAGCTGTCTCCCGACGGTCAGACTGCCCCTCTTGCCTGCACATCCTTGAAGCTGCAGTTCCATGGTTCCCATAGTATCAGAAACCAAACCACCAGGATACTCAGCCTGTCTATCTGCACTAACAAAAGCTCTGAATCCTTCTGACAGGCCTTCCTTTTGTGGAGCCAACAATGGAATCATCCTAACAGGAGTCTGGTCTCCTATGATTGGGATGGGGAAAAGGTCACATTACCCAATAAATATTCCACCCACCTCATAAATATTCATAACAATAATATTAAAAACTCTCACTGGCCTAGTCCATTAGGCTGCTTCCCACCTCGGGGTACCCAACTCTATCTTTTCAGAGTGGTTTGTTTGCTAGATTGGTCTTTTTTTTTTTTTTTAAGATTCATTTATTATGTACACAGTACTCTGCAGGCCAGAAGAGGGCACCAGTTCTCATTACAGACAGCTGTGAGCCACCATGTGGTTTCTGGGAATTGAACTCAGGACCCTGGAAGAACAGCCAGTGCTCTTAACCTCTGAGGCATCTCTCCAGCCCACTTTTTTTGTCTTACTAAACTAATCAAACGGTCGGTGCCTCTTGGCTGAACTCAGTCCGTCAAGAAAACAAGAATGGAGAGATCCCCATGACATCTGGGACATTCTCCCTTGGAAAGGAGTCTGAGGGAGACATAGATGGTTTCCAGTCATCAGCCTGGCCTTGTAGAGAACCCAAGAAGCCGTGGTCCCCAGGAGAGAAGGCAGCACTATGAGGAGACCAGTGCCTGGTCCTCAGGGCTCAGTGTGCCTCCCACCTCTGACTTACAAAAGTGCAGCTTCCTGGCCCCAACGCCAGAATGAGGATTCAGGCTGAGGGATGGGATCTGCATTCTTAAATCCCGGAGATGGTGCTGGCACATGTTTTAAGCCCAGGACTTAGGAGGCAGAGGCAGGCAGATCTACATAGTGAGTTCCAGGACAGCCAGGGCTACACAGAGAAACTCTGTCTTGAAAAAAATACCCATGAAATTATTCTGATGAGGAACATTCTAGAATCCATGATCTAGCTCCTGGATCAATGGGGAAGTTGTGCTGAAGGAAGCTGCCTCAGGTTTCTTCACTCCTCACCCTGTACAGTTGGGCACCTGGGGAGTGCTAAAAAGGCAAGGGCAGGGGCTGGAGCCTTGACTCAGTGGTTAACACTCATGCATTGTCATAGAGGATCTGAGTTCCACACTCACCATCCAGGCCGCACAACCACTCCAGGTCCAAGAGGATCCAGAACTGAGAGCCCCTCAGGCCCAGGCCCCCACAGGCCCAGGCCCCCTCAGACTCAGGCCCCCTCAGGCACGGGTCACCACAGGCACAGCCCTCACAGGCCCAGGCCCTCACAGACACAGGCCCCCACAGGCACAGGCCCCCACAGGCCCAGGCCCCCACAGACACAGGCCCTCACAGACTCAGGCCCCCACAGACACAGGCCCCCACAGGCCCAGGCCCCCACAGGCCCAGGCCCTCACAGACACAGGCCCCCACAGGCACAGGCCCCCACAGGCCCAGGCCCCCATAGGCCCAGGTCCTCACAGACACAGGCCCCCACAGGCCCAGGCCCTCACAGACACAGGCCCCCACAGGCCCAGGCCCTCACAGACACAGGTCCCCACAGGCACAACTGAAATTAGAAGAAGAGGGAAGAGGAGAAGGCTGCAGCAGCCAGAGCTGAGAGAGTCTGTCCACATCTTCCCAGCAGCACTGTGCAGATGGGAGCCAAGCTGTTCCAGAAGGAAGCAATGGTCACTTCAGTTGGTGACAGGGACAGGCATCATAGGATCCCTTCCCATTGAATTGAGTTATCCTGAATTCAGGGTGACACCTTCCCCCAGGTTGTGTTCAGGGATGAGGGTGACCTGAACTGAGATTCTCGGGGCCACAGGAGAAACCCCACCATGCCAACGCTGATGTCAACCAGGACTTGAAGCATACCCTCAGGGGAAGTAGTGATGCTTGGTCTCTGTCCCCACCCTGTGGCAGTGACTGTCAAAGGACATGGAGTACAACACAGTCAGAAGGCTCAGGAACACATTCAGCAGCCACAGGAGGCACTGGAGTTCAATGTCCTGGTCCTGTTTAACCATCTAGTCAGAGTACAGTCACTGTGCCCTGTCACCAGTAAGACCAATTGTGGAGAATCAGAGGAGAGACATTCCCAGGAAGTCAGTCAGCACAGCCGCAGGCAGCACAACCTGAGGCAGGCGTGGTGTGGCCTCTGTCTGAGGAGACACGGGATAGGGCCGAGCACTGAGTGTCCAATCCACAGTTCAGGTGGGTTCCTAGCACCAGTGGCAGCGGCAATGCGCCATTCTTGGCAGTGGAGAGAAAGGGTGAATACCGCCCCCTGTCGGTAACCTTGACTGTGGCCACAGCTCCTGTGCCCCAACAGGAAGCAGGCTGGGGGACCCCTGAGGTGTCCGCAGGCTTCTGCTAGGAATCCACCCAGCAACGTGAGCCTGAGTCCCGCCTTGGGAACAGACAGTGAGGTTCCGCTGCATCCCACGACCCCACGCCAGGTCCGGCTGCGGGAGACTCCCGCTCCCTTCGGTGTAGGGAGCTGACACCATGTTTCAGCAAGAAAAGACAGCTCCAGCCAGTGAGGGCAGGAGGGGCAGCACGAGGGTCACCAACAGCCGCCCTGAGGCTTGATTGAGCTCGCAGTGACAATCACAGGTTCCAGTTTTGGGTGTCGTTTTCGGGGAGTTGGGGATTTGAGGGTCAGAGTTGGGGGCAGGGCAGTCCAGCCACTTGGGCCCCATGGGCTGGGGAGAATCCGACTCAGATTTGACACTGCCCTTCGCAAAGCGCCAGAAATAGGTGCCCTTGAAAAAGTAGGTGTCACCTGTAGGGGAGGAGACACCTCAGAGCCATGGTCCAGACCTGCCCCAAAGCCACTGCTCTTTTTCAGACTCCCAGGACCAGCCCCTGCGTTTCCCCCTTCTTCCCCTCTCCCAGGGACCGCAGTTTGCAGACAAGGACTCCCAGGGCTCCCCACACCTGTGTTGCTGATGGTGACATCGTCTGGGGACGGGGGCGCCCCCTCCCAGAGACTCAGGGCGCGTGGGTAGCCAGGGTCCAGGCGCGCGGCCTCCTCGTCATAGCGCCAGTACTGCTGGCCTCGGATCAGGTACGTCTTGCCATTGAGAGGCCAGGAGAACACAGCATCCACTTCTTCTCCAGGGGGAAGCCCAAACTCGACCAGTGGCCGCGCTGCGCCCTCCAGCTGCCGGTCCTGGAACACCCAGAACTGGGGGCCTGGAAGGAGGCATGTTGGTAGTGGGGCAGCGGGGAGGCGCTTCTTGGACCTGCCCTATCCGGTACCCATGACCCCTACCCACCGCTGAAAAGGATGATTCGGCCATCCCGGGGACGGGCATAAGCAGCCTGGATGACCCTCACGTGGGCGGGCAGCCCCTCCCAAAAGCGGTGCAGCCGAGCTGGACGGGGCGACACCAGCTGTCCTGAGGGTTGGAGGCGCCAGAACCAGGGGCCTGCAGGGAAAGAAGGGAACAAGGCCTGGGGATGTGACAAAGTAAGAGCTCTTGTCCCTTTCCTGACCTCTCTCTATCCAACCCACCGAGTGGCTGGGCAGGGGGAGAATCCCTCTATATATCAAGCAGATCTATGACCATCATTTTATCAGGATTTGCCCAGGATGTCTCCCCCACACCACCCCACTTTTTTAACACCAAAAATTTCACCTCCACGGAAACTTGCAGCCTGGGTGGGTCACCTGGAGTGTGTAAGAAGCCAATTATGCAGATCCAAGGGTCATCCTAAGTAACTTACCTTTGAAAAAGAAGATCTCCCCTCGGATATTGGCTATAGCATCAAAATTGCCCTCACAGCGATCAGGCATAGGTGTGGAGGGTCTGGAATAATGGCGAGTGAACAAGAGGTAGGTTTCCCTGTTCCTTGATCTTGACTGGTCTGGTAAGATCACTTCCCATCTACATTTCCTGTGTGCTTGTGTGTGTATTGGTGCATGTGCAAGTGTGTTGTGTGTGTGTGTGTGTACTTGTGCATGTGCAAGTGTGTATGTGTGTATGTACTGGTGCATGTGCATATATGTATGTGTGTGTGTACTGGTGCATGTTCATGTGTGTATGTGTGCAGGCCATATCTTCACAGTGTATATCTTGAATGATTTTCACCTTGTGTTTTTTGGGTTTGTGTATGCTTTTTGAGACTGGGTCTGTCTGAGCAGCCTTCACTATTCTGGAACTTGCTGTGTAGACTAGGCAGGCCTTGAACTAACAGATATCTACCTGTCTCTGCCTCCTGAGAGTTGAGATTTAAGGCATGTACCACACCTGGCTACCACCTTTTTTTCTGAGACAAGCTCTCTTGCTGAACCCAGTGTTCATTGACTCAGCTACAATGTCTGGCTAATGAGCTTCAGGAACCTGCTTGTCTCTGCCTTCCTGAGTCATGGGATTACAGACCCACAACTCTGGCTCTCACAGGGCCTTTGCAAATCTGATTTCAGAACCTCATGCTTGAGTTGCCGTCCCTTTGCTTTTAAAGGGGCTGTCTCCCCGGCCCTTTTTTTATTATTATTATTTTTAACTTTTATTCATATGTGTGTATGTCATATGTGTGTATGTCACATGTGTGTGGATGTCTGATAGGTTCACAAGTTGTCCTCGAGAATGGGAGTTACAGGAGTTAGTGGATTGCTTGAAGTGGATTCTGGGAACCAAACCTGGGTCCTGAGAGAGCAGCAAGTGCTCTTAAATGCTGAACTACTATGGGATGTCTGTCTGTATGCTGTGAATATGTGTTGCTCTGATTGGTTGATAAATAAAGCTGTTTGGCCAATGGTGAGGCAGAATACGTTTAGGCGGTACATTCCAAGTGGAGAGAGAGGAAAATGATAGGAGAGGTAGAGGAGACACCAGCTACTGCCAAAGGAACAACAACATGCCAGTAGACCGGTAAGCCATGGAACACGAGGCAAAACATAAATAAAAATTATGTGTTAATTTAAGTGTAAGAGCTAGTCAATAATAAGCCTGAGCTAATGGCCAAGCAGTTATAATTAATATAAGCCTCTGTGTGTTTTCTTGGGACTAAGGGGCTGAGGGACAGAGCAGCTGGGTGGCACTGGGAAAACTTCAGACTACATTGAGTCATCTGTCTAGGACTTCCAGCCCCTTTCCATGGAGGACACCGTAGGTAGAGTTTTCCTGCCTGGCCCACAGTCAGGACAAATATCTCTCACCTGCCAGTCCCACAGCCGCTTAGACCCAACCAAGTAAACACAGAGACTTATATTGCTTACAAATTGTATGGTCGTGGCAGGCTTCTTGCTAACTGTTCTTATAGCTTAAATTAATCCATTTCCATAAATCTATACTTTTCCATGTGGCTCATGGCTTACCGGCATCTTCACATGTGGCTTGTCATGGCGGTGGCTGGCAGTGTCTCCCTCCTCCTTCCTGTTCTCTCTTTTCTCCTCTCTGTTAGTCCCGCCTATACTTCCTTCCTGGCCACTGGCCAATCAGTGTTTTATATATTGACCAATCAGAGTAATTTGACATACAGACCATCCCACAGCAGGACACTGAGCCAGGGAGCTGGTCACACAAATGGTCGGGGACTCACCTGTCAGGGCGCAAGGCGGGAGGTTTTGGAGGTGAAGCCAGGGGTTTCCTTGTGGGCTTGTCATACAGGGTATGGGTCACTTTCCTGTGGGGAGAGTCAGACAGATATGGGTTCCCTGACCTGCTGTATAGGTCATAAGGAGGCTACACCTGGGGTGGTTCTGGCGTCCCCCTTCCATACCATAGAGCTGCTGCAATCCATAATAAAAAAAAAATTCTGCCTCTAACCTGCAAGGTATCGGCACAGCTCAGACGCCATTACAGAACAGGCAACTTTTAAATTGGAAGGATGAGGAAGGTCATGCAGGAACTTTTCAACCCTTTGTGCTACCTGACATTCCAGTGAACTTGTGGGGACGAGATGTGTTAGATGGTATGGGAGCAGTGCTTACTACACAGCCTGTACAACAGATGCTGAAGAGTCAGGGCTACTGCCCAGGCAGAGGCTTAGGGAAAATGTTGCAAGGAGACCCACTCCCTGTGGCAGACAAAAACTGTGTCACTAGAGGTCCTGGGGATACTAGAGGATTAGGGTCTTTTCCACAGGGGTCACTGCACAGCATCCTTCAATAATACAACCAATAAAAATCACTTGGAAAAGTGATGACCCTGTATGGGTGGAGCAGTGGCCCCTTACCAAAGAAAAATTGGAGGCTGCAAACACATTAGTTAAGGAACAGTTAGATGCTGGACATATCATTCCTTCCACTTCACCTTGGAACTCACCTATATTTGTTATTAAATAGAAGTCAGGAAAATGGAGGCTATTACAGGATCTTAGAGCTGTAAATAAAACCATGCTTCTCATGGGAGCAACACAGCCTGGCTTGCCTGCCCCTGTGGCAATTCCTAAACATTGGCATTTAATTGTGGTTGACTTCAGGGATTGTTTCTGGAATGTTTTGGCAAACAGGTCCTATTCTATGGGTACATTCCCCAGCTTCTCCAGCAAAAACCATTACTCCTTATCCACAGGCTGTTGCTCAGATTATATTTAAGGGAATCAAGATCAGTGTTCAAACTTTTGGTAAGGAGCCAGATATTGTGGTGACCCCATACACCCAGTCTCAAATAGCATGGTTGCAAGCTAATGATAATGATTGGACCATATTGACATGCTCCATGCAGGGTTGGTTTGATACTCACTACCCCTCCAATGATGTGTGTCAATTTTTTAAATTGCATCCTGTTATATTTCCCAAGATAGTACTGATGACTCCTATTCCTCAGGCCCGTGTGGTGTTTACTGATGGCACTTCACGTGGTTTTGCTGTGGTGGTTTCTGGTAACATAGTGAAAAGAGTGAAAGTCCAGGGCACTTCTGTCCAGATGGCAGAGGTACAGGCACTGTTGCTTGCTTTACAGATGTTTTCTGATGAGAGTGTAAATATTTATACTGATAGTCAATATGTGGCACATGCCATTATGCCTTTGGAGACAGCAGCCTACATACCATCCATGTCTCCCATTCATGAATATTTATTGCAAGTGCAAGGACTTATATGGTCCCACTCACAGAACCTTTATGTGGGCCATATTAGAGCTCACACTCAATTGCCTGGACCTCTAAGTGAAGGTAATCAGAGGGTGACGCCATTACTTGTATGACTGTCACATTAGTTTGTTCTGCCTTTGATGAGGCTACTCAGTTGTATCAACGTTATCATCTCAATGCTGGATCTCTTCGTCATCATACAGGCATAACCCGGGAACAAGCCATCCAGATAGTTAAATCATGTCCTATTTGTGCTGAATTTTTACCTGTTCCTCACTTGGGAGTTATTCCCCAAGGACTTTTACCTAATCATGTGTGGCAGATGGACGTCACACACGTGCCTTCCTTTGGAAAATTACAATATGTCCATGTGTCTATTGATACATATTCTTCTCTAATTTTTGCTTCTGCCCATTCAGGGGAAAAGGTTAAGGATGTAAAGAATCATTGTCTTCATGCTTTTGCTTATATGGAAGTGTCAAAATGCATAAAGACTGATAATGGTCCCGCCTACAGCAGTACAGGATTTTCAAAATTCTGCCAAGACTTTTCTATTGTTAATAAGACTGGTATTCCTTGTAATCCTCAAGGACAGGCTATATTAGAACGCTGCCATCGTACCTTAAAAACATATATTGCTAAAGTAAAAAGGGGGGAGCTAGGGAGTCATCTCTCCTCTCCACATTCTATTCTTTCCCTTGTTTTATATATTTTAAATTTTTTATCGGTGGATTCTGCTGGAGTATCCACTGCAGATAGGCACTGGAGGGTTCTTGTTGCAAATCATCCTCTGGTGTGATGGAAGGATCTTTCTACTGGCACTTGGAGGGGACCCGATCCGGTGTTGGTTTGGCCCCGGGGATCTGTTTGTGTCTTTCTGCAGGACAATGAGGTTCCTCTTTGGGTTCCTGAGCGCTGTGTGTGCCCTGTGGCTACTGCTGAATCCCAACATGGCAGAGACCTATTGGGCCCTCGTGAAGAACTCTCCCCTTCTGATGCCAATAGGGATTGAGAGCCCAGTATGGCCAGCCTTGGCAAGCATTAACGTAAGCCTAGGAACTGTAGCCATGTGGTTGGATTCTTCAAAAGGTAATGTATGGTAACTTTTTTCAAAAATGTTGAGAATGTGTCACCCAGACACCTTGGAGATTAAGGATAACTCTGAAGGTCAATGACCTTCATTTGTTAACAGTAGCATGCCAGCTAAGCCTTTTCACATTTTGCAACCCTCTTCAAGCTGATGTAGTACCTACTTTTCAGGATTGGCTCTGTGCAAACATTTATTGGCCTCCTGAAATTCATCTAGCCTTTTTGAAGATACCTTAAAATTTGTGAGCCTGAATGTAGCCATTAATGAGACCATTAGTTCTGCTCCTTGTTTGCTGTTTTTGTTTTTGTTTTCTTTATGGTTCTTAGTTGTTCTTTTGCAGACCTGCCAGCTTAAGTCATGCTGGGATCAAGAAAAATGGTCCTTGGTGGTTCGTGTTCCTGGAGCTGCATCCATGCCAGTGGACCATGGCAGTTAGACACAAATGATGCTCACATGCTCCAGAAGAGGATCTGACATCGCTGTTGCCATTGTTGCTGTTATAGCAGTGGTGGCCACTGCTGCTATTGCTTCTGGGATTGTTATTTCATAATTGGTTACTACAGCTAGCACAATGGAGACCCTTGCAGCAAATGTAGCTACCACAGTTAGTTAATCTTTTATTTTATTGGGCATGATAAATTTAATTCTACATTTATACATTTGATTTGGCTTTGTAAGTTGTAAAATTTAAAACTCAAGTTCCATTTGCTTTTGGGATACCACCTTACAAGGACTCCAATTTGCAGTAAAGCTCGTTTAAGAAGGGAATGGCTCAATTGCCTTTAGCCTCCTGGCTATGGGTGGGTTAGGACTTCTGTTGGTCTGTTCTGTGTCGCACAGATTGCAAGCCCAGCATCACTTTGAGATCTTTGGCAGCAGTCACTCTTCAGCTCACGTGGTTGAGTCTGTATGATAATGAGTATTCAGAGACGGGTAATGCTTGGGGGGCGGTCATCAACCTAAGACAGAGCACTTGTGTGGCCTGGGCAGGTGTCTCTATGACGGGTAAGGTGACCTGCTGACGTCCCAGGCAACCTAAGTCAGAAGCTCATTTTTTAGTAAAAAGGGGGGACCTGTGGGCCCTGGCCCCCCACTGTGAGTGACAGCCGCCTTGCTTGCTGACCTTGACCAGATGTCCTCCCTATTCAGATTCCCTGCTGGTTTCCTTCTCACCTAACGGTCAATGGGAGGTTCTTTGTTCCTATATCCTGCATTTGGTGTAAACATCTTAGATGCAAGAATGTAGAACATTCGGTAGCGAACTTCTGCCCTCCGGGGATCCGCCATGGTGCTGTAAGCCTGTATTTAAGGTTTCCTCCCTCTTTCAATAAACGGCATTCGGCATTCAGCCGTGGCAAATGACTCGCTGTCTCTTGTCTCTTATTTTTTAATCCACAGCCCCTCGCTCAGACATGGTGAACAGGTGACGGTAGCACGGGCGTTACCGCAACACCCAAAACTTCCTCAGTACTGAGTAAGTGGCTCAGTGTCCAAAAGGAAAGGAATGGGTTGCCCCAATGCTGTAATGGCTACCCTGGGTTCCCTGTAAGAGATAGTACCTTTGATCCTTGCCCATGGCCAAGCCTAGGAGATTGACTGGAGCGTGGACTTTGTTTGATGTCCCCATGCCATGAGGTGCACAGGGGCTGTCAGCTGACCAGTGTCGCTCTTGGTGGCACTTTGGACAAGGCCCAGTTGGTGGCTCACATGGAGCAAGGCACGCACAAGCACAGTGGCCTTTTCTACCACAATTAAAACAGGGACCTGGAAGCCTTCAGGCAGCTGGTTGGATAGAATGTACAAGCATTTGACAGTTCTATTTATGGGCTTTCTCATCGCTCCCATGCTACACCTTAAATGCCACAGCTAAGACCTCTGCCTGTGGGAGGGACACCCCTCTCCAAATGCTTCAGTTTAGCTTTGATATCAGAGAAGCTCTGGGAGATATGAGCTGGATTTTATTCATTATCTTGAATTATATTCTTTTTTTTTTTTTTTTTTTTTCGGTTTTTCGAGACAGGGTTTCTCTGTGTAGCTTTGCGCCTTTCCTGGAACTCACTTGGTAGCCCAGGCTGGCCTCGAACTCACAGAGATCAGCCTGGCTCTGCCTCCCGAGTGCTGGGATTAAAGGCGTGCGCCACCACCGCCCGGCTTGAATTATATTCTTTAGCTTTTGATAGTTTACTGGTTTGAGGGCAGCCTTAGGAAGACTCACCAGGAGGCAGGTTGTAAACAGATCTCTAGCTGGAGAACCATTTGGGTTATTATAATCCCAATGTGGGTCCTGATCAGGAACCGCCTCAGCCACAGGTGGATGGGCAGCATTGGTTCGATGAAACTCTTTTGCATGTATCCTAGCCTGCTCCCCGACCCTTCTGCTTCCCATGGCAGCTAGAGTGACAGGAGGAGTGCAGGTGGGAGCCAGAGTTGGGCAGTTGGAAGGACCTGTAGAGGAGGAGGAAGCTAGAGGGGGAGCCAAAGGGGACAGGTGCCCTGGGAACAGGAGCGGGAGGTCAGATAAGCGGAGGTTCTTTGGAGTCAGAGATTCCTCAGGTTCAGGTTGCAAGTGAGCTGGAGAGAAAGAATCAGAAAGGGAGGATTCAGAGCTTAGGTAAAAAGCTTGGGGATAAGATAAGTCTTTTCATTTGCCCATTCGCTGGCAGAACTTAGATAATTCCCATGAAATATCGGGGTCCAAGAAGCCATTAGGTGGCCATATTTATTATTATCTAAGGGATATTTAAGGCATTTCTCAGAGGAGTGAGACTAAAAGGAGGGAGCCTTATGTCCCATGACTGTAGCGGAAAGAGAAAAATTAAAAACTAAAAAAACAAACGTGATCCAGAACCACAATCTCAGGCTTCCCTGAGATCAAGGAAGGATCTGTAATTAATTGGCACATGTTACCCAACACTTTGTCAAGAGAAGGGTAAGGGCCAGGGCGTATGTAGCATGAGGACCCCCTGGGGGTCCGACAGCAAGAACGATATCTCAGACTATAGCCATGGGAAATAGCTAGAGATTGAAAAGCGAAATCTCACCAATCAGAGCAGGCGGTGTTTGTGCAAAGCGGAAGGGCGGCCGGGCAAATGAAAAAGCGGGCAGTCGTACATCAAACAAACCTCAGTACAGGGTCCCGGATGCAGAGCGCTGGGAGGGCCTGCTTTGTCTTAGCACCAATGTTAGTTTTATGGGGCAGCAAAATGTTATTCGTCAAGCGGCGCTGTTTACCATGCAAGAAAAGCCACACGGTCTGACAAAACCCACTGTAAACGTTTATTAAGGAATGATGTGCTGAGGCCTATGGAAAGGGTGGTACAAAGAGAGAGAGGAAAAAGAAGAAGGGGGGGGGGGGAGTCTGTAACCTGCTTTTTCTGGATTCCTCCACACATGCGTATCCTCTCCACACAGAGCTACACCACGCATGCACCATAGATTTCATGATCAGGCTGTGCACAAATTATGTGACCATGCAGTGCACGGATTATGTAGGACCTAAGGCCCAAGGGTGACCAAGCCTCCTGCCTGCCTAATGGAAGGACATGGGCAGCCATGCAGCAACACTGAGGGACTTAAAATACCCTATCCATAAGGTGAAATGAGGACAGGAAAAGCGCCTGTTTAGCAGGCATAAGGCCCCGGACTCGGCTCTCAGAACTGTCAAGAAACAAACAAACCCGGCAGGAACAGAAAAGCGGTTCATGCCTGTAATCCCCACACCAGGGATGCAGGAGGATCCCTAGTGTGAGGCCAGCCTGCGCTGCATAACCAGACCCCATCTAAAGTCTGGCATAGCAACCCAGGCCTTTAATCCCAGCACTCAGAAGGCAGAGGAAGGGTTCAAGACCAGCCTGGTCTACATGGAGAATTCAGGACAGCCAGGGCCAGAAAAAAAAAAGAGAAAAACAGACAAACAAACAAAAACACTCTGCCTCAATAACACAAATTTGTATTGAATTTAAGAAAAACATCCTGACTAAAAAAGAGCCAAGGGACCTTGGAGAGAGAGCTCAGCAGTTAAGAGCACTGGTTGCTCTTTCAGAGGACCCAGGTTCAATTCCCAGCACCCACCCGGTGCTAACAACTGTCTCTAATTCCAGTCCCAGGGAATAGAAGCCCTCTTCTGGCCTCCAAGGGCACTGTGTGCATGAAGTGCACAGACATACATGCAGGCAAAACTGCAGGCATATAAAAAGTAAAATAAATTTTATGTTTTTGGTTTTTTTGTGGTTTTTCGAGACAGGGTTTCTCTGTAGCTTTGGAGTCTGTCCTGGACTAGCTCTGTAGCCCAGGCTGGCCTTGAACTCACAAAGATCCACCTGCCTCTGCCTCCCGAGTGCTGGGATTAAAGGCGTGCGCCACCACGGCCCAGCGTAAAATAAATTTTAAAAGTCAATAGAGGCCAGGGAGCTCACACACACAGCACTCTGAGAGTGGAGGTAGGGGCATCAGGAGTTCGGGGCCTGTCTCTGCTACACAGGGAGTTTGAGCCTATCTGGTTCCTGTCTTTACAAACCACAACAAAATGAAAGATTAGGAGACAGGCCTGTTAGGCAGAGGCCAGGAAGGAGGTGCTTGGCCCGGCAGCCAGTGTCAGGAGTTGGGTTTTTTGTTGTGTTTCCCCTTGAATTTAGATTTCATTATCTTACTATATTTACACAATGAAATAGTTCAGAAGGGGCAGTTCAATGTGACTTCATTTCAACAGAGGTCTCTGTGTACATATTCCCAGGAAGTCACCTCCAAATGAGGAATGATCCTTGCTGGCTACAACTGCTTTTGTGCCTTTATTTAGTTATGTACTTTGAGACAGGGACTCTCTACATAGCCCTGGCTGTTCTGGAACTCACTCTGTAGACCAGGTTAGCCTTGAACTCACAGAGATCCTCCTGCCTCTGCTTCCTGATTAAAGGCGTATGTCACCACCCCCAGATGCTAGTGCCTTTATATTTGGGGGAAGAATCTTGCCTCCAGCTTTCACAATAACTGATACATCTCTCCACACTCTCCCTAGAGCCGGACCCCATGGCTACTGCTGGTGCTCACCACAGTTGCTGCAAGCTGCCAGAATGTAGTATAGTGATTCAGCTATAAATAATAAAACTAAATCTAGAAAGTCAGGCAGTCTTTCTAGAGGGATGCCATACATCAGGGAATATTTGGTGTTATTCAGCTTTTAATATATCAGCTGTTTCTTGCTATGAATTTCTGGTGCTCATAATTTCCTCAAGAACAGTGTGTATGAACATATAGGCTCAAAGTACTTGGATAAGGTCGAGTAGACAAGGTTTTCTGCCTCCAGACTCCCTGCTCCCTTTTTTTTTTTTTTAGGATTTATTATGTATACACTGCTCTGCCTGCAGGCCAGAAGAGAGTGCCAGATCTCATTACAGATGGTTGTGAGCCACCATGTGGTTGCTGGGAATTGAACTCAGGACCTCTGGAAGAGCAACCAGTGCTCTTAACTGCTGAGCCATCTCTCCAGCCCCCTGCTCCCTTTTTAACATTTGACTTGGGTATCTGCCTTTTGCAAATATCTCCTTTAGCTACACCCAAAGATAGGGCCAGCTCCAAACAAAGCATCCAAGGACAAACAACAACAGAGTAGCTGGCCAGTCCACCTGCTAGGCCCCTGAAGCCCCTGAATTAAGGTGAAACATCCTTTTGGAGACAGCCTGGCTCTTAGGCCAAGCACCTGGCTCCTAGGTTCATAGCTTTGCTTCTTGTTTAAATCAAGTTCAGACCATACCTTTCCTTCAGGCCTAGTGGCATGCCAGAGCTTTTGACTCAGAACAAAAGGTTTTTTGCATAACCAGGTACAGTGAAGGCAGTGGTGGTGGTGGGGTGCTCCTGGTCCTGGCAAGGTCGCATGGGCAAGAAGAAGAGAACAAGGCAGAGTTTCTGTAGATGGTAGAGTAGTATGGCTCAGTCCGAGGAGAGAGGAACAATGAAATGACGGGAGCCATAAGCCTAAGTGACCCTTGACACACATGCCGCCATATTTGGGCTTCTCTCCTCTTTTCTTAGATCTAGGCCTTGCTTAAGTCTCCATAGCACCAGAACCTCTTCCCACAGATACCAGAACCTCTTCTCAGAAATCAGGTGACCACGCTGCAGTTAAGCAATTAGGCAGTTAGACAAGGGTAGATAGATAACCCCCAGAGCAACATTCCCTGCTGGCCGAACAGCCCATAATGAAGGCCCTTCCTGCTTGCAACCCCCTTTGCCTAACTATATATGCCTTGAGAGAAAAATGAAATTTTGGAGTTTGATCAGACGTCCTGTCCTGCTCTCAATCTTTGTGTCTCTTGTCCCTCCCATTCGCCGACTCTCCCTTTAGGTCCCCGTTGAAGATCTCTCTGGCTGGGGCAGGGAAAAGCTTTTGCAGATTGTAGGTGGATTTGATTGAGGTCATATGAGGAGGAGAGGAAGGAGAGATGGAGGGCAGAGGAACGGAGGACGAGGATGAGGTCTAGAGCATAAGAGCTTAGTTATGACTAGGGCTATGAGAGGACAGGAAGAGAAGGGACAGAGAGGAACTGAGTGTCAGAATGGAACTAAAGGTGTGTAGACAGAACTTTGTCTGAGAGAAATAAAGTGGATAGTCAAAAGAGCCCAGTGTACTTATTCTTTTCAGGCAGATTACCCCATCACCGACTGTAGCATCTTCCCCAGGACTCTGGGAGGAAGCTTCTCAGGGCAAATTCCAATACACACTTTTCCTTGAGATTTTTCTAGAAGCATGTTGTCAATTTCTATTGCAGTTTCAGCTACACTGCTCTATTTTGTTGTTGTTGTTGTTTTTGTTTTGTTTTGTTTTTCCAGACAGGGTTTCTCTATGCAGCTTTTGCAGTATATCCTGGATCTTGCTCTGTAGACCAGGCTGGCCTCAAACTCACAGAGATCTGCCTGCTTCTGCCTCCCAAGTGCTAGCATTAAAGGCATGCACAACCACCGCCAAGCTGATTTCTGCACTTATATTTGGGGAAGAACCTTGCCTCCAGCTTTCACACTAACAGGTGCATCTCTCCACACTCTCCCTAGACCCTGATCCCACAGATACTGCTGGTGCTCACACTTTCCCTTGAGAATTTTCTGGAAGCATGCTGTCACTTTCTATTGCAGTTTTAGCTACACTGCTCTTGACCAATACTCTGACGAACACTGGAAGGCAGTCTCGGTGCTTGTCCTGCTGTGACAGTGGCCGCTGCCCTGGGTCCCTGTTCTTTCATAATCACTGTGAGGAGAGGACATCTTCGCTTTAGGAAGCTATGGTGAGCCTTTCAGGAAGGGATGATTTCATCTCCACCAATAAAGTTACTGGTGTACCCTGTGAACCTGACATTATCCTCTACAAGCTGAGAGAGAAGCCAGGAACAGCCCTTTCCATCTGGACACTCACAGGAACCTGTATTATCCACACCTTCATTTCAGACTGTGCCTGTAGACTGCCAGGTCACCACAGGCAATGCCCGTTAATAGTCTGGTGTTAGATTAGTCCATCTGCCTACGGGAACCATACAGAAGGCCATATAATGCCTGAGCAGATATGGGAGAATCTTGGGTCCAAGACTGGGGCATGAAGAAGACCTGGTCACATGAGGCCAATCAGTGGAAGAGGTGGAGGTCTGCCCAACTCTCAAAAGGAGCCTCAGAATTCAGGTCATGGCAGAAGAGGGACTGGAGAACTTGCTTAGCTGAGTAGAGAGCCCAGGCTGCCTTCAGTCCTCTTGAGGGCCATTCTGTCCCCTGGCAGAGTAGCATTACTGTGACTACTGATCCCACCTCTGTGGTATTTGAATGTGATTGGCCCCATAAGCCCATAGAAGTGGCAGTATTAGGAAGTGTGGCTTTGTTGGAGTAGGTATGGCCTTGCTGGAGGAAGTGTGTCACTGTGGGGGCGGGCTTTGAGGGCTCTTTTGCCCAAGCTTCCCTCAGTGTGACACTCAGACCACTTCCTGTTGCCTGCAAGATGTACGACTCTCAACTACTTTGCCAGGACCATGTCTGCCTGCAAGTCGCCATGCTCCCCGCCATGATGACAATGGACTGAACCTCTGAGCTGTAAGGGAGCCAGCCCTAATTAAATACTTTTCTTCATAAGAGTAGCTGTGGTCATGGTGTCCCTTCACAGCAATAGAAACTGTAACTAAGACAGCCTCCCAGACCCCTGGCCCCAAAGGCCCAGTCCAGTGCCTGACAGGTTCTGCCTCCTCCATCCAGGAGCTGCAGCAAGAGCTTGTCAGTGTTCTAGAAGGGTGCAGTGCCCTGCACACCCTGGTCAGGCTTCCCTTCTGACCCCACACCCGGCTGTGGGCCTCACACAAACCTGCAGTTCCCACCTTTCCTCCAAGTCAGGACTTTGCTTGTTTCTTTTCAGTGTGGGGTCAGCCAGGATATGGCATTCACTAAAGAAAGCAGTCTGTTGGGAGCAACACCCCATCTAAGCCCTCTGCTCTGAAGAGGGGTGAGCAGCCCTGCTCTGACTGTTTGTTCCTGACTCTTTCTCTTTCACTTTCCCTTCCCCTGCTCTCCTCTGAAAGAGGCTCTCACCCAGGGAAACCCCACCCTTCCTTCCTCCTGTGAGACCAGAACAGCCCGGACCTTCCTCCTAGGCAGACATCAGCTAGCCTTTGAGCTGGGAAGACAAGAAGAAGAAGGTGACAATCTTAGATCAGAACCTGGGACAAGGTCAGCAGCAGATGTCCTGCTAGAGGGAGCTGGGCCTCCATTCCTGAGGCCCATGACTCTCTGTAATAGTGTCCAGGAAGGTATCTAATGCATGTTTTTCCCTCCTCTCTTTCTTCTGGATAGGCTTCGGCCCTGAACCTTGACGTGCTATGGACGTCCAGAAGGTGAGTGAGAGAAGGTAATGGGCTGTGTCCTGGAAGCTGTCTCCATCATTCTCCTTGAGACTTGGATGGGGAGGAGTTTCTGGGAGCCAAGTTTATGGACAAAACCCACTTTTTAGTCAGGAGACAAATGCAGTCTCTCCAATGTCCCTGGTCACCTAGGTGACTGTTCTGCTGTCACTGTCCTGTCCTAACTGATGGAGACCAGCTTTGGGAGCTGTTCAGGTCCCAGAAAGGATGTGTGGAGTGGGCTGGGGGGAGAGGAGGATCTGAGGGAGAATCGTGATGGCTGCCTTCGAGCTTATTGAAAAAAAGAGCACACCTTTTATACTGTGTAACGCAAAGAATATTAGGTCCAGCCAATATTGTTTGCTCCCAGGGTCTGCGGAAGAGTCTAACAACCAGCTGAGGATTCTAATCTGAGGGATATCAAATAAATCTAAGCACACTGAGTTCTTTAGTCCATTCACTTTATTCTTCTCAGTCAATTCTATCTGCAGTTTCTTTTCTGCTCTCTTACTTAGCTCCTCTCAGTCCCTCCTGCTGTCAGTCCCTTCTGCTGTTCTCTCATCATTCTACCTAGTTCTTTCCATCTCCGTCCTCATCTGTGTTCTTCTCCATTCATCCTCTCTGTGCTCTCAGAGAACCAGTATATGGACCCACACAGTAATTCTTTGGTAAAGCCATGTGAGGCTTGAAGTTTTCAGGGTCTCAGAGAGAGGTGATAAGGACCCATACATAAAGCAATAAATGTCAGCTTCCAATTACAACCCAAGGGGAATGACTAAAGGGAAGTTCTCTGGTAGGGTCAACTAAAGGCTACGATCAATTAGGGAATTTATGTGCTCAAACTATCATCTAGAAATGCCTAGGTAGAAATGTTAGGGGTCAACAAAAAAGTAAACTGTCTTTGGCGCCGCTTTTCCGGCTCGTCCCGGCTGCAGCTGCTTTCTGATAGGGAGGGGGACATATGCTAGGTGCTAAGTAACCTATGTCGGAGTGTGTAGTATTCGGTTAGTAAAAGCACTTTCACTCAGAGTAATTGCTGAGGAGAAAATCTAGGAATAGCACCTGGCTGAGGAGGAATAAAACTTAATTTGCACAAGAAAGAAGCTTGGTACCTATCGCCAGCCTGGCCTGGAGGCAATCTCCTTGGATCAGTGGGAAGTAACTGCCTTAACTCAGTATCTAGCAAATGGCTAAAACTTCATCCCATGAATGTGAGCAGTAAGTCTCTTAAGTTAGGGTCTTGTATAAATAACCTGGGGTGAAGGTAAGGAGTTGAGGATTTAATTGTTAATGGCTCTTTTCTCTATCTGTGGGTGAGATGAGCTAATGTTTATTTCTCTACATTTGTCCTTGGAAAAGGGTGTCTTTGCTGAAATACTTTTGTCTGGAGAATGGCCCTGGACAGATATTTGTTAATGAAAAATAAACACAGCTGGGGACAGTTGTCCAATTATCCCAAATGTATAGGGAAACTTGTACCCAAGATTGAGACACAATCGTGAGATTATATGTACAACAACATGGAGATGCACGGTAAATGGGGAGAATAATAGCTGTTATTGCACAAGAAGTTTACAAGAGACAGCCAGTTCATTCAAAAGGCAGGAATTCCATAACGCCTTGCGTGATGGTTTCCTCTAACAGAACCCTTAGTTCTGACAGGTTGGCCTTCTGAACTCTAGCTGTCACTGCTGTGTACTCCCATGGATTTTTGCTACCAGCGGCTCTCAATATCTCTCCTTTTTTTGTTTAATTAAAAAAAAAGCCGGGCGGTGGTGGCGCACGCCTTTAATCCCAGCACTCGGGAGGCAGAGCCAGGCGGATCTCTGTGAGTTCAAGGCCAGCCTGGGCTACAGAGTGAGTTCCAGGAAAGGCACAAAGCTACACAGAGAAACCCTGTCTCGAAAAAAACCTAAAAAAAAAAAATAAATAAAAAATAAAATAAAAAAAAGAAAGAAAAAAGAATGTGTAATTCTCTCTAGGGCAGTGAGTAATGTGGATAAATTAAAAGTTTGGGGATGTCTGAAAAATTTGATAAATAATGATTTTGAAATTAATAATCAGTAATTAATATTTATATTTAATCAATATTTGTATCAATGCTATATTTACAACTAATAAAATGTATTTATAATTAATATTTAATATTCATAATAACTAATCTGTATTTATGATTAGTGATTAATCAATAATCTATA